CACTCCAGTCTGGGTGACAGAGTGAGACTCCAACTCAAAAAAAAAAAAAAAGAAAGTTGAGGGGATGTGGAAGTCACTGGATTACCATATTCAGCCACACTAGCATCCTCCACACTCCTCCCTGGCAAATCTACCTGAAAAGCAGAGGAATCTAGTGAGTGGAGACCCTTCCTGGTTCCTAGCACTTTGAGTGTGAACACACACTCATGAAGGCGTGGCCGACTCTGTGTCTTCACGGTTTAGACATCAGATGTTTCCGTTGTCCCACCAATGCTCTATCCAGCTACTGCTCTAAGGATCAGTGTGATGTGTCCATTTGGTGTGATATCTCTTTCCTACTCTTGGACACGGTGGGCTGTAAAGTGTGCTCCTTGGTCTGAAGACATGTAACTCAGTGGTCCCAAGTGGCACAGTATCTTCTGCTCCAGTCCTGTTGGTCTGAGTAATGCTCGGCTGCTCACCCTTGTTACTGATAAATCAAGGGTCAGGGAACTGGTAGAAAGAGGTCTACTTCTGAATTCGAATCCAGGGAGCAGAGCTGGACTTGAGGTCTTTCTAACATGGTTCTGCTCACCCTTCAGACCTTGCAGTTCACTTTTATAGTCCAGAGTTGTCGGTACCTAAATGTTAGCCATGTGACCAGCAGAGCATTGTATAGGACTTACATTACAGCTGCATTCTACATTTAGATAGTGACATTTAGAGTAAAGGAAGTTTATTGTGCATTACAAAAGTTACCCAAATCTCAAGACTCACCATTACATTGATGCAAAACTTATGCAAATCACAAGACTTGTGATTACATTGATACTATATTTTTCAAATGTAGGATTATTAAGAAGGGAAGTAAATAGGGATTACATCTTTGGGCGTAGTCTATAGGGAAGTCAAGAATTCCCTGCAGCTACTAACTGGGAGTGCCCTTCTCTAGGAACTGTGGCAATATGAACAGACATTAGTGGGTCTCTGTATCACTCCAGGGGTGTTTTGAAAATCTGCATCTACTCCTGGGTATGCAAAATGCAGGCCAGAGTGAGTGTCTATTTCTGTCAGGACCCGTCGATAGCCTTCCAAGGCGACAGGCACCAAATGGACCAATATAACCTATCTATCAGTTATGCACCACGGCTCTACCCCCAAATAATCTATCCCATAACCATCTGCAGTCTCTGTCTATCCTGCTGGCAGACAGCACAGTACTAGTTGGCATTTTGTGCCTCTATGATCACCCATCTCTGCATTGCTGGGACTTCTCCATGCCCACTCATTTCTGAGGTGCTGGCCACCCCGTGTGAGTGTACTATGCCATCTCCCTGGGGAACCAATTGCCTTCCATGCTGGGAAAGAAGTTCTTCTGGTGGGCATCAAGCATGTCTTATCGAACGCAGCCCCTAACTTCCCATCGTGATTTCCATAGTCATGTCCTATGTGGACATCCCTTTAACAATCCAGTTTACACTTAGGCAACACTAAATTTACTCAAAAAATTTTTCTTTCTTCAATAATAAATTAACTTTAGCTTATCATACTTTTTTCTGTATATACTTTTTAATTTTTTTAAAACTTTTTTTGCTCCTTTCTAATAACACTTAGCTTAAAACACAAACACATTATGTTGCTGTATGATATTTTCTGTCTTCATATTTTTATTCTATAAGCTTTTTTCCATATTTATTTTACTTAAGAAATTTTTTTTTTGTTAAAAACTAAGACACAAACACATACATTAGCCTAGCCTACCTAGGGTCAGGATCATCAATATCCCTCTCTTCCATCTCCATATCTTGTCCCACTGGAAGGTCTTCAGTGGCAATAACATGCATGGAGCTGTGATAGCAGTGCCTTCTTCTAGAACAACTTCTGAAGGACCTGCCTGAGGTCCTTTTATACTTAACTTTTGTTTTGTATAAGTAGGAGTACATTCTAAAATAATAAGAAAGTATAGTATATACATAAACCAGTAGCATAGTAGTTTATTATTATTGTCAAGTAATATAATGTTATGTGCTATACTTTTATACTGCTGGCAGTGCAGTAGATTTGTTTATACCAGCATCACCACAGGCACGTGAGTAATGTGTTGTGCTGTCACATTATGGTGGCTAAGACATTACTAGATAAAAGGAACTTTTTAGCTCCATTATAACCTGGTGGGGCCATGGTTGTATATGCAGTCCATTGTTGGCCAAGGTGCCCTTATGTGGTACATGGCTGCACATATATCAGAGGAGATTTATCATGGGGGTTGGCTTCTTCGATCGTGAAGGCTGAGAAGTCCAACAACGTGCTGGCCACAGAGAACCAGGGAAGCTGCTGGTGTGGCTCAGTCTGGGTCCACAGGCCTGAGAACCTGGAGTTCTGATGTCCATGGGCAGAAGATGGGTGTCCCATCTTAGAGACAACAAATTCACCTTCCATGCCTTACTTATTCTATCCAGGCCTCAGCTGAATGGATGGTGCCTGCTAGGGGGAGGATTTTCCTTACTCAGTCCACTGACTTTGTTGACGAAAAATGTTAAACTCTGTAAAATATTTTACACTGATTTATTATGAACCAAACTTGAGGACCTAGGCCTGGGAGTATCCATCCTCAGAAGTCCAGAGAACATGTACCCACTGTGGTTGAACAGTGGCATGGTAATACACATTTTAGGAAGGTAGAAGTCGCAAGAAACCATACATCAATACATGTGAGATTTTCACTGGTTTGGTCCAGGAAGGAGGGACATTTCCAAGTGCGGCTTGGAGGAGGGTGTCAGGGAAGGTGTGCAGGGGAGGCTAGGGGAAGCATTTGCAGATAATAGGTAGATTCAAAGACTTCTTGACTAGTCATCTGTAGTTCCAATCTAAAGAATTTTGGAAATCAGTAGAGGAGATGATTTGTTGAGATAAGAGGACAGAAGACTCCAGGTTTGTTGATATGTAGATGAAGTCCCATATGTAGCAGACTTCAGAGAGGATAGATAAGTGTCTTACAAGGTGCCTGGAGTCTGGGAGTCCCCAAGAGATGACTTTGCAGGGCCATAAAATACTTTGATTTCCTTCTTTGTGATGTGATGGTTTGCCAGAGTCAGGTTGGAAAAAAGGCTTTAATATGGGGTAACAGGGTAATAAAACCCCCTGTCTGGTGAGTCCTTATCAGGCATGACTCCCCAAACCTCTTAAGTATTTGGATAAGAGAAAAAGGTCAGCTGGGCTCAGTGGCTCAGCCTGTAGTAATCCCAGCACTTTAGGAGGCTGAGTTGAGTGGATTGCCTGAGCCCATAGACCAGCCCAGGCAACTTGGTGAGACCTCATCTCTACAATAAAAAAAAATAAAAAAAATTAGCTGGGCATGGTAGTGCACGCCTGTAGTTCTGGCTACTTGGAAGGCTGAGGTGGAAAAATCACTGGAGCCTAGCAAGTCGATGATGAGGTGGCCATGAGTGTGCCACCGCACTTCAGCCTGGGCGATGGAGAGAGACTGCAACTCAAAAAAAAAAAGAGAGGGAGAAAGTCACAGTTTAGTATTTAACCAAATGTCAATCTGTTTCAGAAACATCTTCACAATTATATGCAGAAATAATGCTCTACCAGCTACCTGGGTATCCCTTAACCCAATCAAGTTGACACCTAAAATGACCCCTCTGAACTAGTTCAATACAAATCAGCAAGACTCAGCCAGATGAAGTGGCGTGGAATTGGTTGGGACAGAGTGAGGCGGTTCTGCTTCTCACCCTCCCTCTCCCACTTCACATTTTACATTTTCACGGAGAGAAGGCGTGTAAGCATAGCTCTGTGGTCAGCAGGCTTTGTGGGTTTTTCTTATAATTTCCACACTAAGCATATTGAAGTTGGAAGGTTATTGCTCCTTCCTTTTTAAGTTAAGGAAGTTGAGACATGTTAAATGACTTGCTCAAGTTCACACAGCTAGAAGAGGGCAGAGCTGGGTAGGAATGCCAACCGTCCAGCTGCTGAACTTCTTGTAAGAAAGATGCCGGCTTGGCTTTCAATAAAACAATGCGAACATGAACCCCAGGTCTCCGCTTACAACCCAGCAGCTCCTTGCAGATTTATACGATCTAAAAGAATGTCAGCTCATGTGGGAAGGGGATGTAATATTTTCCTTCTGCTATTGTTGTGATGTACAAATAAAATAGTGTATTGTCAATAGTTTCCAGCCAAAGACCACTAGGAACACACCTAAGCAAGTTGGGTTTATTACTCACTCCAGAGAGGAAAACCACAAACAATGGGAAACCTTGGGAATATCTCAGTGAGAGGGTGTTAGAAAACGTTATTAAAGGATTTGGGCTTATGTTAGCTGCTTTGGCAGGGGTTTAGCAAAGCATGTCTTTGCTCTGAATTGGATAGCATCAGGAAGCTGGGATAATTCTATGTACATGTATCTTCATAAATCTTATCCATAGGGAGGGCAGACTTCAGGGAGGCTAAAGCGGAAATTGGCAACAAAGCAAAAGCCAGTTCTATTAGCCAAGACAGTTGCTGTATTTGGTATTTTGTGACTTGGACAGTGTTCGTGCTTTGTCTGTTTTCTGACATGATGTGGGAATGGTCTTATTCTTGTCTAGATCCATCCTCGTAGAGGGGTCTTGTCTAATGTTCTGGGAAACTGTTTATGTTCAACAAAAGAATACTAAGTCCCAGGGTGAGTGCCAGATCAGCTCTATTGTGGGATACAAAGTGTCTATCACAGTGCTGGGCTCATAGATGTTGGAACCATAGGGCTTATGATTCTTATGGTGCTCACCCACATGCCAACACTGGATTTTTGAGTCACAGTGACATGAGGAGGTGCATTCTGGAGACATTCAAAAGATAGATGTTCTATCAGGGAGCAATGACCTCTTTTCCTCCCCAGCTTCAGGCGTTACACATGAAGCCATTTCCATGAGGTTTGGGGTACTTCAGCCCAGAGAGAATTTTAGTTACAGCAAGGAGAGGCCTGCAAATTAGAGGACCCATCCTGCCTTCTGTCTTTGCCTTCTTTGTGCAGCAAATAAATAGTGTATGCCAGACCTGGGCTAGATGCTATGACGCCCACGACCTCCTGGAAAAGACAGACAAGCAATCGTGCTGAAAAACATGGTAAGAGCAACCAGTGTGTATACACATTCCTGTGCATTGGAGCAACGGATCTTCTGAGACATTAATGGCTAGGGTCCCATCCCACTGAATTATGTGGTCTGGGATTCCACTCAGGGATTCTAGATTTTAAAAATTCCCTGGGTGAGTTAATATGCAGTCAAGTTTGGAAACTTTTGGTTTAATCTATCTTTCTTAAGATTGTAGGGGTGGGGGTGGGGGAGTTACAGCTGTTGAATCAGATGAGAGATGGTTTCTCATTCTAGGTACTTGCATTTAGATACAAAATCTGGCATAGCATTTCAGGGGGTTATAGATCCCAAGAAATGAATGAGGGAATCCCCATGGGTCTCGTGGTCCCAGGTGAACAATCCTCAACTACAGGAGTATCCAACCCCAGTCAGGGTGATAGGAACTCTCTGTCTCGTTCAGAATGGCATTGGCCCTTTATTCCTAGTCTGCTGGTGCTGTGATAACAAAATACCTGAGACTGGGTTATTTATAAAAAACAGGAATTTATCTCTCACAACTTCTAGAAGCTGGAAAGTTCAAGATCAAGGTGTCCTCACATGGCAGAAAGCTCAAGTACACAGAGGCTAATCTCCCTTCCTGAAGTCCTTATACTGGGATGCTGATCCATCCAGAGGGCAAAGCCCTCAGGCCTAATCACCTCCTAAAGGCTGTACCTCTAATACAGTTGCTTGGGGATTTGAGTTTTCAGAGGGGCACATTCAAATGACACTGTCTTTTGACTTCAGAGAAGCTCCAGCCTTAGTGTCACCAAGCTGGTTCCCACTGGGCAGAGTGCCAAGAAGCAGCTCGGGCACCACCAGGGCACACAGCTATGCTCTCCAGTGTGCTGGCTGGTGCACACGGGCAGGCTGCAAGCTCTGGTTGTTTTTTGGGGAAACTCCAGCCGCTGCCACCTGCATCTACAAAAAAAAAGTGCACCCCTTCTTTCCCCCCCATCCACTTACCTCCCCTATCAGCATCGGCAGCCTCCCAGGTGCATTTGCAGCAGCTGACCTCAGCTCAAGCACAGAGAAAAACTTTGCAGTTGCCAAGCTACAAGCAGCCACCGAGCTACAAGCAGCCACACTGGGGACAGACGGAGAGCAGGTGAGCACAGCCTGCAGGTTGGGACCCTGAAGGAGAAAGGACAGAGTGGGGGTGGAGGTTGGCTGGGTCCAAAGTCTCCGTGGGCAGGACAGGTTGTGTCCTGTCAGTACTCTTCACCCAGGGTTTTGCTTCTAATTTAGGAATAAACAAAAAAGTCTGTAGTCTTTGAAAAGAAAATTATCCACTATTACAAAAAATGTTCAAGTGTTAAAAACCACATACTTACTTGGTTCAAATTAATTACACATGCCCATAAAAAGTGAAAACTCAAAATTCACAAGGTTCTTAATTCACTCAAAGTAATTTAAATAGCTATGGTTTGGGCATATGTCTATCCTTCAGGAACAACACGCCAACAAATTATATCACACCTGTGTGTGGGAAAGTGGTTTACTTCTCATTATGTTGCACGTGTCTTAGAAACATACTCCCGGACCACAGCTTCAAGAGGCCCAAGCAATCACCTCAACTGATGGCTTCTTTCCAAGCTGCTCTGCCAGGAGCAGGTGAGGTGCCTTACAGGGACCTTAGTGACCCCTCAAAAACCCTTTCCCCCCAGAGCAGTTCCATATTTGAATGCTTTACCAATGCAGGTTCCAGGTGAGATTTTCTTTCACAAGTGGCTTCTGTGGCTAAGGAAAAATGGAAAACTCGTTGAACTAGTCCAAGGCCCTATCCACAGCTGTTTTTATAAGTAACAGAACCATTTTTCAAAGTTCCAAACTTGCTTGAAAAGAAAGCACTGCTATAAATCCTTCCTTCTGGAAAGGAAACTGAGAGGATAGAACGAGGAACCAGACACCCACATCCCCAGTAGGTCTGACCTAACATTCTGCAGGTCCCATTGGGATTGTGACCTAACAGGAACCTATAACAGAGGTTAGGACAAACAGTGAGAATGGAATTTGGCAGAATAAAGATGACTAACTCGGGCTTCCTAACTGAGGATTTACATGAGAACTGGAACAAGTTAGATCCTAATCCATCTGTGTGCTCCAGGGTGGAGCTGAAGGTCCTGGGTAAGAAGCAGGAGGAATCTTAGAGCTCAGAGCCTGAAATTCAATCCCGGGACCTCTGTGTTAGCATCGCAGCAGAAAGTCACTATCAGGACTTCCCAAACCATGGCATGTGGGCATGGGGCCTGAACTCCTGTCATCTGAAAACATACAATTCCCAGCAGTGAATCCCTGATTATCCAGCTGGGATCAAGCCCTTCAGCAAGCAGTATGCTGCTTCACCCCAAGAAGGACCTTCTGAAAACAGAATGGATACACTGACCGCTGGAAAACACTATTTTCATGGGAACACATTTGAAAATCGGTGACGTTGGGTGCATTGGTGCACACCTGTATTCCCAGCTACTTGGGAGGCTGAGGGTAGGAGTTTGAGGTTGTAGTGTGCAATGATCACACTTATGAACAGTCACTACACTCCAACCTGTGCAACATAGTGAGACCCAATTACCCTCAATTAAAAAAAAACTTAAATAAAATAAAAATCAGCAAACACAGTGACCTCTTAGGAAATGGAGTGAAACATGCTTCCACAAGAAAAGCAGTGTGGAAAATTTCCCCCTAAAGCAATACAACCAAACAACCAAGTGCCCACTATGTTGTGCAGAAAAATCCCTTGTCATGAGAGATGCATAGGTAAGGATTAGTATGAATCTATCTGGTTTTAAATAAAACCACACCTTCCCATCCCTGAAGAGGAGGACATACCCATTCCTGTGTGTAATAATTCCTGTGGTGAAAGAGCTTGGGGACATGCAGGCGTCTACCCTCTGAACACCTGATGAACTGGTATACCCTGTCCATGCTTACTCTGCCTTAGTTTAAGTGCCAGAGAGTTAGGATCAAAGACCTGTTGCCAAAGAGCCAAGGGCACAACCATCAAGGAACAGGATGCTTTAAAACATGATTTGTGGCTGAGTGCAATGACTCACGCCTATAATCCCAGCACTTTGGGAGGCTGAGGTGGAAGGATTGCTTAAAGCCAGAAGTTTGAGACGAGCCTGGGCAGCATAATGAGACCTCATCTCTACAAAGAAGTAAAAAAAAAAAAAAAAAAATTAGCTGTGCATGGCTGTGCCTGTAGCCCCAGCTACTCAAGAGGCTGAGGTGGATGAACTCAGGAGGTCAAAGCTGCTGTGACCGATAATTGTGCCACCGTATCCCAGCCTGACTCAATAAAAGATACTCTGACTCAATTAAAATATATATACATATGACTTACAATTCAATAATACAGAGAAGACACATGAGCAGTGTCAAAGAGCAGAGTTATTTTTTTCCCCATCATTGACAATTTGTAGATTCTTCAAATAACTTAAACAAAGTATATCCAAAATGTTAACCACCACCTGCATGATACGGGATAGAGACGATATCTATACAGATCCTCCCAAACATTTCACCAATTAGAAAAAGTCAATGTGATCCATTATTCCTGGGACAAGTCTTCTTTAAGAAAATAAGTAAGTTCTTCCTTGGTTCTGCTAAAGCTATCTATGATCAGCATTCTTCCCTTCTGCTTCCACCAAAAATCAATGATCCCAGGATGAAAGTCAAGAAAAGTAGCACAGTAAGTCCCTTACATATGAATGAATTTTGTTTGTAAGGCTAGTTTGTTTGTAAGTCCAACAAAGTACTCAACTAACACAATCAGCTATATAGTACTATACTATAATAGGTTTATAATACTTTTCTTTTTTTTTTTTTGAGTTGGAGTCTCACTCTGTCACCCAGACTGGAGTGCAGTGGCCGCTCCCGGGCACCGCAGCCTCGACCTGCTGGGCTCCGGTGATCCTTCTGCCTCACC